ATATTTTAAAAGAATTTTAAAAAGAAATATTAACGAAAAAGTAGCAATTTTTAATATGTTATCTGAACAAATGGACTTTTTCAAAACTGTTTAGGCAACCACATTTAACGTTTAGAAATACAAATTTTGTCAATTCACATCACCCCTCTATCTCTAATAATTTTCGAAATATTAGACTAAATATGTTTACTATCCCCGATTTTAAAGACGATTTTCATACCATTAACGTGGACAATTGCTGATAAAAAGAATACGTGTCGAATATTTTTATGAGACGTACATATAATACATACCAAATTTTCATCAAAATTGACGATTGTCACTTCGAGATGTTCCCTTGATAGAATAGTTTCCAGAACCACCCCTTAATTTTTCTACCAACTTTTGCCGATGTCACATGCGTAACAGACATCGCTCGAGTACCGGTAGACCTTTAGTGCAATAAATGGAACCGACGAAAGTTCCGGTTCCCGAGCGCAACCTTTCCACCTTCAATAAAACAGTATCTTACTTAGGATTTCTGGACAGCCGGTCACCGCATGGGCGAGAAATTGCAAACATTATTATTTCTTAACATCTGTTCATTTTCAGGAATCCTAAGACGATTTTACAACTAAGCAAATCCAAAACTTCTCCCTCCATCACCTCATAAACCACACCTATAACAAAATAGCTACATCAATCAGGAAAATGCACATCCACCTCCACATGCACTCTTACACCAATCTTACATAAATAGTAATAGTCAATAAAAGACAGTTTTTCCAGCGACACAACAGATACGCGGCAACTTTCGAACACTTAATACCATACATTCTCGCACTGTCATACCTTGGTAAATTGCACACAATATTATAATAGTAAACTCTTTTCGTGCATGATTTCTCCAAGTTCCCGTGAACTACCTAGGTCCCGTATCCCGAGTAAATTCCTCGAGTGGTTTGATTCAAAAAGAGGGACAACGATCGGTTTCGCCACGCTCACATCGCGATCCATAACACCGAGCACCCTGCATGTGGCATAAAAAAATCAAATTTCTGAGTTTTAGACATTCGACAAACGTTAAAAATTTTAAGAGTATACTCTAAAAGTCTTAAATTGATATTTGAAACTCAATAGAGTCATGTAGTCACGTAAATATTCGTAAGCTTTGAACTCGTTTTTGGTTAAATTGGATTTCCTAAATAGGTGTACACAGTATCTCGAGGACCTTACTTCAAAGTTATTCTTGAAAGCTTTACACAGTCTTTGACGATCTCATTTTTCAAAAATTAAATTGTACTGTAGTAGGATATACGGAATGGTAGGATATTCTTTGGTATCTGGGAAAAACACAAAAGGTTTATTTATCTTTCGTCGATACATGTTAAATGTTGGGTACAAAATAATTTCGAACAAATCAATGCAGTGTTCGAGCTGTTGCTTTTGCTTTCGGGCGTCCAGCTTTAAGCAGCCGTACTCTCCCGTTACAATATTAACGAAACGGATAAAACGATTTATAACAATTACTGTGGGAAGGCGTCCGATGAGCCTCCTGTACTCTACTCTCTGGAAGGCGCCTGGCGGATAATCCAGCCGTTCTCTCCATTCCAGGAACGACCCAGGTATAGCTCTCGTACTCTCCTATCACAATATTTAAGTGATACGCGTATGATCGGAGAGTCCACCCGCACTTCTCCTGGTAGGCGACCGGCGGATAGTCCAGTCGTTCTCTCCATACCACCAGAAGTACTAAGCAATCCTCTCCGAGCTTCCTCAGGCGTCCGGGTAACCTCCCTGTACTCTCCTCTCTCAGAGGCGACCGGCGGATAGTCCAGCCGTTCTCTCCTCCAGAGAGTGACCCAGGTGTCAGTCCCCGTACTCTCCTGTGCTGTAAGGGCGTCCGAAAGCTAGGCTTCGTACTCTCCCACTCTGAAGGGCGACCGATGGTAATACCTCGTTCTCTCCCAGCAGAGTACAGCAAGAATGCGGGCCCCGTCCGCGGCCGTGGTATTTATATTTGGACGTTGCTAATGAAGCGCGGCTTATCAACAAGACTCCCTCGTAAAACCGCGAGTCTACCGCGGATCGCAAGCTAGTTTCTTCTAGAAGCTTCTATCGCTTCGCGATTATTTGATTGACGACGAGGATAGAGAGTCGTCCCTCTCACTTCCTCTCGCGGAATGGAAATTTTTTCGCCGTCTTAGTTGCTGGTGGTTACAGTACTCTTTTCATACAAGGTGAAAATTGCAAATTCGTTACTCATATGACCACCATTTTGTAACAAAATGTAAGTTTAAAAATCATGGATTATTAAGGAGCTCTGCACTTCGTCTATTTTTAAAATCCATCCGACATTTTGTTTTTAAGCGTATCGTGTAACCCGTAGAATGTCGTTAACTTATGAAAAATATCGGTAGTAAACGAAAATTTTAGAGAAAAAATTGCGATCGTCAAATTGTTAGTACAATTATGTATGTAGTTGACATCAAATGACTTTGAAACAAAAACTTATAGTAAAATTGTTTCTTTTCAGTCTTGTGGAAATTGAACTTCAAAGTGCGGATGAAATGGATGCTACGAGCCTTCAAAATATAGTACATGCAATGATGAAACAATCTGTGCAAGTTCGCAACGATAGTTATCCACAACCAGAAGTGGTACCACGTTCAATTTTTGGTGTAAGAGATGTTGCTGTAACTCCAAATTTTAAGTTAGACGTAGTTAATAGAGACAAACATGTCTTAATGGCACCTCCGAAACTTCAAAACCTCGATGAAAAACTCTATTACTTAAAAAATAACAGACCGAAGGTTTACATAAATGTAAGGGGTTACAGTGGTTCTTTTCGAAAAGATGCATTATCCAAAACGAGTTCTAATAATTATCCTATGGAATTTCTTAGAATGGCACCTTCTCTGGTAAAACAAATTGACAGAAAATCTCAATATGAAAGAAAGATTCACTCACCAAAGAAATTTAATTATCGAGCTGAAGCAAATCGTGAATATCAGAAAAGTCCTTTAAGAAACGAAACTAAGAAACTAAGTAGATTAGATATAGTTTATGGCCTGCACGATCTCTCTACTACCGAGAATTCTCTAGTAACTTCTAGTGAGTTACCGAAACAAATACCAACACCACCGTCCAAGCTTTCAAGCAGAACATTAATGGTACAAACGACGCCTGTTCAAAGATATGCTTTAAGAAGAACAGATATATTACCAGGATACAGCTTCTCCGATGTTTAATCATGTTTGTAACCTGTATCTATTGTTTAGTTGGAATATCTCAGTTTGTAAGTCATACATTTACTAGCAATATGGATTTTTCTACATTAAATGGGTATTCGTTAAATTTGGATAAAGGAAACGTCAATTTCTATAAGTATTTAGAATATGCGCGTAAAATATTATAACGAAGTTCGAAATATTAACTAAGAATAAGTTACAGAAGCTGGGTGCAGGCTGTGCGCAGCGTTTTTATGATACGGTTCAAAAGAAAAAGAAAGGAAAATGGTTCTAGTACCGTTGATTAGGGGAAAAACTTTTTGCAAATCTTTGAAAACGTTTATCTCAGAACTACATTTTCAACAATGGCTTCCAGGATACCTCAAAAAGCACTTGATCAATTGATTGAAATTTTACACACGTTTTGTATACATCTCTTTATCGTCTGTAATGAGATTATAAAAGTATCTGCCACATTTTCTTCGCAATAGCAAATTAAATTTGAAAAATTGTTTTATAAAGCGATAGTTTGACATCTTATGCACTCTTATATTGTTACATCTCATTTTTTATGAATAAATAGTGGCACGGGTGATATATTGGGTTGGCAACTAAGTTCCCGCCGTTTTTTAAAATTTTAACATTTCGCATGTCATTAAATGTTTTTGGCATAATGTTTTAAATCATTCGAAAGAGGATGTTTTGTTCTACCGGAATCTTCTTTGTTCGAGTTAATTTATGTTAATTTCTGTTGAAAAATGAGCATTTTCGACACCTCCTTCTTTTTGCTTTTAATCAAGGTTCTAAGGTCACAAAAGCTGTTCGCGACATTTGTGCTGTGTATGGAGAGGGTGCCATAGCTGAAAGAACCGCTCGTGTGATTAGTATGCCAAATTCAAAAATGGAAATTTTGACCTCAAAGACGCACCTCGTTCTGGCCGTCCAGATGAGTTCGATGAAGAGCGATTAAACCAACTTTTGCACGAAAATTCGCGTCAAACGACAAGGGAACTGGAAGGGAAAATGGAATGCTCCCATACTGCTATAGAGAAGCATCTTCACTCGATGGGAAAGGTTCAGAAGTGTGGAGCATGGGTTCCGCATGCTTTAAGTGACAACAACAAAAATCAACGAGCCACAATCTCCGTTGGTTGTCAAAATTTCCATTTTTGAAAAACATTATGCCAAAAACATTTAATGACATGCGGAATGTTAAAATTGAAAAAAACGGCGGGAACTTAGTTGCCAACCCAATACATAAGTATCCCTATAGATTAAAAATAATTTTGAATTGTTTGTTTCATACTTTTAAAAAGGGGTACCATCATGGTAACTCATATACAGACGCGACGTACGTTTCAGACCTATAACTTCGTTAATACAGTTTATTTTCGCGCACTTTATAAATATTCGTAAAAAGTGAACCAAGAAGAAACAAAAACTGTTGATAATTATATTTGATACTTTCTTTGGAAAAAAAGAAAAATGATAAAATCGACATATTTTGCACTCTATTTTGAACGAATACCCGCTTAAATGAAAATTAGAATTACATACTGGGAGATTCCAAATGAAAGGTATTAATGATTGTGAACAATTATTGATGTTTTTCTAAAAGTTTAATTGCTTACATTTGTATTTATACAGAATTATATACGGTAGAACTTCGTTTATCTGAATCTCGTTTCTGCGAACCAGTCTTTGTTTACCGTCAGTTATATGAACTCATGACTGAGCTTCTATTATCAAGCAAGTGAACCTCTATTATCCGAAATCGTCGGTTGACCGAATAATTTTGTCTCTCGACAAGTTCGGATACACAAAGCTCTACTGTAGTTTGATTTGTAAATAGATTTATCTTACAAAGTTAAATTAAAGAAACTAAAAATTGCGAAAGAATGTTGAAAAGTGTAGCAAAATTTTATACAAAAAAATTTATAAATGGAACCGTTAAGGTCACTTAGAAAGAATTTATAGTTTCTTTTAAAACTACTTCACTTATTTAAAAAAAAAAGTAAAATAATGTATGTTTTAATTCCATGTTACACATTGTATGATTTCTTCAAAAATATCATTTACTTCATTTACTATATATTCGGGAGACTTTAGTTATATGTATGTATATGTAAATTAACGTAAGTCCATTTATATGGGGTATGGAAAACAGTAATTTACCAATTCGCAGTCTTGTAGCAGTAAACGAGCCAAGCAAAACGTTTAGTCAGCATAGTTCCCTAAATCAAACTTTTCAAGTTAATAATCTGTACTTTTTAATTTCGGTAATCTGCATTAAATGTTCGCTTATATTTACTGCTTATGTCATAAAAACGAAAAAATTATTGATTGATAGTGTTAATCAGTGTATTAATTTAATGCATATAAACAAAATAATTCTTTCGAAAAAGGCATATACAAGATATTCTTACTACACTTTTGTTCACAGCATGAGTACGTGCGTAGCTAGCAATTATACAAGATTTCACAAATATTAAGTGCCCTCAGCTATTTTTCCAACAGTGTTTGAGGGGAAATCGACTTCCACTTTCTGAGTCTCACGTAAGTACGTACACTACCGTCCATAAGTATTTGGACACCCTATAAAACGGAATAACTTTTTTAAAATTTGGTCAAACGACGAGTTTTTTTGAGAAGTTAGAATGATTAGTTTACTAGATGACGTGTACAAAAAATTTTGAAAAAATTGCAGTTTGTGGGAATCGCGAAGAAAATTGTAAAGGTTACGTTTTACAACTTTTTTATCTGAGCTCGTAATGAAAATTTAAAAAATAAGTTTTGCAGATCTATGCCAATTATACACATGCTGAAAATTTCATCGAAATCGGTGGATGGAGAGACAAGCGACAGGCATCGAAAGATGTAAGAATCTTCAGATTTACTAGTTATAGGCGTGAAATAGTGCGATTTTCACAATCTTTAACCGTTTGTAGCTCATAACAACATTAACCGATTGCGATGAAATTTTCATCACAAGCCTAGATAAAAAAGTTGTAAACAGTGACTTTTACAATTTTCTTCGCGATTCTCACAAACTGCAATTTTTTCAAAATTTTTTATACACATCATCTAGTAAACTAATCTTTCAAACTTCTCAAAAAAACTCAAGTCGTTTGGCTCAATTTTAAAAAAGTTAATCCGTTTTATAGGGTGTCCAAATACTTATGGACGGTAGTGTATGTATGTATTTACATATTGTATACCGGGTGAGTCACCTAAGACTGGAAGCTGAAATATTTTCAACACTATTAATTATATCGAAAAAGGCTTCGAACAAAAGTTGAATGGTTTCGAGGGGGGCCATTGTATGATACGACTAGCATTTTTGTAAGTAAACGCGTACCGGACATATGAAGGTCAAGTTTGTTTTTTTAAATGGAATCGTATATTATTTAATGGATCACTCGATTCAGCTAATCGTTCTCTATAAAAATGTGTTAAACTATTTACACCGAGAAACCATTACTTTAGGAGATATTTTAATTAAAATATTACGGTGTTATGTGCGTAACCTCCAAGCCTAGCGAACCTCTCTTGTCTTCGGGGAAACTATAGAAATCCTACAACGGTCACATACTCTGCATTCACCAAAATTCCTTCGGGCAGTTATAGCGAAAAGCCACTGAAAGGTAGTGCAATAAATCAGGTAAGAACCGGGCGCGTCACTCGAGACTGTACGAGGCACCGAGAGCGAGCGTCACTCGAGACTGTACGAGGCACCGAGAGCCCGACGCTCGAGGATGCCCGTGGATCGTAGGTGCCATGCGTCTGGTTCATGTCTTCGACATCCTTCGATGCCCAAAAAAGGGGCAATTGTCTAAACTTGGGTAGGCTCGCTGTACTGTCCGGAAAATTCCCAAAAGCCCGTGGATCGTAGTGCCATGCGTCTGGTTCATGTCTTCGACATCCTTCGATGCCCCAAAACGGGGGCAATTGTCTAAACTTGGGTAGGCTCGCTGTACTGTCCGGAAAATTCCCAAACTGTCTCAATCTTTCCTCCTCTAAACCATTTCCACCACCCCGAGGACAGGAGAGGGAAGCCGCTTAAAAACCCAACGCGCTTCCAGCGCGGGCACTCAGTTGTATACCCTTGCATCAAGGAACGCCTCTGTACAGAAACCGACAGTCAATAAACTTGTGTGAATTAAACCCTGCGGTAGTCACTGTCGCCGACCCTATCCCAGGTAAACTCCTTGAATGGACTGACCGAAACCGGGGGCCCTGAGGTACGAAAGGTACGTAATAACGGAATGGAACTCTTACAATTAATTGCTGCTGTTTTTCTTTTTGTTTAAATTATGCGAGGTATTTTTCCTACAGAATGACAGAGACTAATAAATCAAATTTATCTGTGGAATTTCGAGTATAATTAACATAATCAGAGAACATCTCATAGAGAATAACTCTACGGATGACTTTACAGGTCACGTAATGTTTATTCATTCGATGTGATTCGATTTTAATAAGTATTCCTTACATTATTACATATTACCTATTACAAAATGTGTTCAAAATGATGACCGTTGACGTCTAATCATTTTCGCAATCGAATCCTTAAAGCCTTAAATACCATTTCGTAATATTTTAATTAAAATATCTCCTAAAGTATTGGTTTCTCGGTGTAAATAGTTTAACACATTTTTATGGAGAAGGATTAACTGAATCGATTGACGTATTAAACAATATACGATTCCATTTTAAAAAACAAACGTGACCTTCATATGTTCTCTACGCGTCCACTTAGAAAAGTGCTAGTGATATCAAACAATGTGCCCCTCGAAACCATTCAACTTTTGTTTGAAGCCTTTTTCGATGTAAATAACAATTTTGAAAATATTTCAGCTTCCAGTCTTTGGTGACTCACCCGGTGTGTATACAAGGTGCGTCACAAATTAGTCCTCGCAATTTTTTTGGCACTTACGATCATCTGACAAAAAAATGTTGTGAATGTAACTTAGTACTCAATCGGCAAGAAATGGCAGATTTAAAAATAGCCAAAAACATTT